ACAAGTTTATAGATACAAGACAGAGGTTTAGTTGAATTTTACAGGATCTTACACGTCAATAATAATTCAATCCTCATGTTTTTTCCACTACTGTAAATGAAGGTTCGTTCCACTTGTAATTGTGCTTAACTCTCTATGGAGCTTTACGAAAGCTTTTCACTGGCCTCTGGAGACTCATATCAGAAGGATACTCATATTTGCTATTAGGCTCTAATTTCACGGATGCTCCTCTAAAGCTGATTTCGGTAAAAACCTGCCAAGTTCCTGTGTCTTTAGACACAACAATGGACGAGGCTCCTTCGGGAAGGAACTTCGTGACGTCCTTGCAGTCTTTGCAGTCTTCACCGAACTCCTGCAAAAAGAAAAGACAACGAAAAAAAAACGAATTGAGTACAAGTTGTCACGCGCGTTGCGTAGATGTTCTCGAAGACAATGACACTGTGCGTAAAGCATGGCTACTTGGGCGGAACCTGAGAGCCGTCTGTGTGTCAAAAGTTGGCTATTCATAGACCTTTCCCCACTTCCCCTCTGGGATTTGTGAAGCCGGGAGTGATCGAAAATTACATTAGTGGGATTACTTTGGGTACAAGGCCTATATAGGGGATGAACTCTTTTACCCTTGACCCTCTCTTGGTAAGCACTATGATTCATTCTTACCTTCATGTTTCCCGCATAATGATTTCCTTCATACAATGTAAGAACTGTTTTGCACGAGTTCTGCAAAACAGCAAGATATAATATTACCCCACTCATAAGTCTCCGTATTTCTTCATAATTCTTACTCCATTTACCAACTCGATCTGCTGATCAATGTTTTGTATAGATTCTTACAAGTCCATACGTGGTTATTTCATTCTAATTGATTGATAGACAAAATAAGACGCAGTTGACATAACGTACGAAATCCGTTGCCTTTGTAAGTGATTGCTGGATGAAATATTCGTCAAGTATTCGTTTCCTTTTTACGCCCTGTTTTAAAATTTATCGCTACAGTTGCAATGATCTCACTTTTCCGTTCTTGTCTTTCTGACTTACATTGGGATTGTTAGACTCCATGGTGGAACTGTCAAAGTCCAGCACTGCGTTCAGGCTACAATGATGATAAGCAATATTCAGTAAAATCCTTAGACCATTGCCATTTTCTCTCCTATTGCTCGTACTGATGGGATGATAATAGAGAGTTGTAGAGTAACCCTTTTTCTACGGATTGGTTTTAATTTTACCTAGCTTTTTATTGGAAATGTACATCACTACTCCCTTTCGCCTTTTATTTGATTGTCGTGTATTTGATTAGTTTATTCCTTCATTTGCTTCTTGTTCGAGTGCTAGCATTATTAAACTTAACTTTCCCACAAATTTTAGAGCAGTTCATAAGAGTATTCCTTTGGCAATCCATGGACTGAGGTAATGCATCGACTTGAAATGTACCGATCCTCTCCGTGTGCTCTATGAATGCATTAAGCACTTGTGACTGAATCAACCGTGTGCATTTTGAATAGTAACTTAACCGTTAGTCCCTTCTTACAAAATGTTGAAAAGAACATATAGCATAAATGTTATTTCGAATTAACGCATCAAATGGCGGATTATCAATATTGAACATCGACCTCACCGTAGAACACTGGACAAGAATTGAAATAAATAGAAACCCCTGTACCCATCAACGCTGAACATTTTATCGTGTTTTATTTGTAGTATTCAGTGCTTTGCAAAGAGTTTTCAGCTTTTGCATTCCAATTGGTTTGTATCAGATATTTGACATTTTATCCATGCATCTCTCATATGTCGAGATCTATAGCGGTATTGGTTCAGATGAGTGTCGCTTTGTGTGTTTTTTTTTAAGGCGATCTTTTCTGTACGGAGGCAAGAAACATTTCACTCATTGGTTAAGCTTCCTATAACGCTGAATTCGACCATTTTGCGTTGTCGTTCAACAGAGAACGACTAAGAAATTTACTCCTGAGTTAAGTTCTTGTTGCTGTTGCCAGTTTGTTTTGCTCAAATTCCATATTACTGCATACAAAGAGTACTTTACTTACGGTTTACTGTCTTGTCTCTTTCGAGTACTTGAGAGTAGAGTCTTACAGCGCTTTGAACTCCTGCTAAACACGAGAGTAGTATTCCGATATTATTCAGGTCAAAGCGGAAATGATCAGTACTTTGATTTATCTACCAAACTAATGCGCTGCAACTTCCGGTACTAACTGATGTGGCAAAAAAGTTGGTAAGGAAGGCCTATTGACTATGCAAATCGAAACTTAACGTGAAAAAGATCTGGCAGGTCTTGCTGGTATCTTCGAATATCAATAAAAGAGAAGAAGAAAATAAGTGTCCAGAGAAGTGCATGGAAACAACAGTATTTGCATTCCAAAATTTTGGGCAGCAGAACAAAAGCAGCTGGCTTGAAATTTAAATGTTTCTGATGTATTTTCAAAACACTTAGCGGTAAAAACACGCATGCTGTCATTTAGATATTCTGAGCGAAAAAGAATTAGTCTCTACAAATCCAGCAACGGGTTACAAAAAGTGTTCTTTGACTGAAGCTTAATTGGTTCATATAAAATATTTCCCTCGTTATAATCTTGTGAGCAAAGTCTAACAAATTTGCACGCAAATGGTCATAATTTTCAATAATGTTCTTAGCTTGAACCTTTTTTCACCAAACATTTATTCGTAACATCAATCGAGTTAAGTTTCTGCAAAAAGCCAACTTTACCTTCCTCTAGAACTGACTTTATTTTAGCTTCTTCTCAATACGCTTTTATTTTCCATTTCTATTATTCTCCGGCTCGTATCAGTTGACAGGTGACACAGGGCATGGAGTATATAGACTCAGTGCCGCATTATTTTCCCTAACGGTTTCAGAAGTAAAGCGTGAGTCAGCATAATTTTGCTTTAAAATTTTGACCTCAAAAGATCTGCTGTTATCTAAATATTTTTTATCACGTACAAGAGTACGTATGTTTATGCATGATGCTTTTTTAATCAGCCACGACGGAACATGAAGTGCATTGGCGCATAATTTCTTCTATTTATAAGAACACAAAGAAATTACAAGAGGTCCCTTTTGATACTAAGAGCAGGCGGGAAAATATCTAAATTAGCTAACGACAATAGCAAATATTTCCCTAGGGGACTGATTTGATCTCGTGATGACTCATAGCCTTTTCATACAAAAATTACCCACTTTCCGATAGTTTCAATTTCGCGATTATTGTGTTGAACACCATTTTGGTTGATGTAGACATTGCTTTTTGTCAAAGGTCTGAAAATTCATAATGCTGATGTGCTTGGAATAATAAAGGCTGATGACCTCTTTTGACCCTCTACAAAACAGGAACAAGTTTTGTCAGTTTAGAGAGCGGGCCATTTTACCCCTAGACAAAGAGCTTTACACTTAAACGAAAACGTTAACCGCCATTTTGTTTTAAACAGACGCATTTTCGCTGCTAATAATATTTGAAGTTCGAAACATGAGGATCCTTGTTAATTTCGGATTTGCAGCCTACTGAAGGGTCTCAAAATACATCGAACAGTTCACTAATTTCTCGGACTAAAAAATGCAACTTCAAAAATTAAATGAGAGGGCTCACTAACATAACCCACATCATGATTTCAAATACCTACCATCACTTCTTAGGAAACGAAAAGTGCGAAAGGAAAGCACTACGAGGCATTTGGTTCACCTTTATCAAATTTTATCATTTTTACTTGTGTACAATTTTCCATCCATCACCTTACATGCTTAGTTACGTTTCTATAAGTTTCTGCCACAGGAAAACGAGCGGGAAGGAATTAAATTGATATACAGTACACTCTCAGGATTATTGATTTCACTGTTCGATAAGAAGAAGAAGAAGAAGAAGAAGAAGAAAAGTGTTCTTTGAGCAAGACTAGAATTGGCTTCCTTGCTGACAGTTAGTTAAATGAATATATTTATTGATTTTAAGCGACAATAGGTCTAAATGGCCATGGTGTTACGGAACTATCAGAATGCAATATGAAAACAAAATAAGGATTTAAGAGGTTTGTTTTGGTGGTTGACGTCAATTGCACCGCCTGTAGCACTACCACTTAGCTAATCATAATAGTGAAATGGGTAAACAGGAGTGTTCCTGTAAGACCACTTGACACGCCCTTTAAGGGACGTTTGATGTTTTTATCTAGGTCATCTTGGAAAAAGGAAAATGTCACTGTTTGAATGGGAGGAGCTACAGATTTCAAAGACGTGCATTCATGGTCAAATGAGCTATTTTCAAACCTGCTTTTGGATAATTGACTCAACTCAACTTCATTAATCACTGATTGCTGGAAATGTTGATATTAATTGTCTTTGTTGACAATTACGTAAATAGTTGTCCTTGTTGTACGCGCAGCAAGAGCACGCAATGTTTTCTTGCTTTCCTCTGACAGCAGTCAGTAACCATGATTGTCTAAAACGGATTGTTAGAATAAGTCAAAGAAAGGATCCCTTCTGTGAGCCCGATAACATTTTTACTATTAACTATTTCACATGATATCACTATTCCGCATGCGCAGCCACTTGCGTTGACGCCCTCAATTATGTGCCAATTAATCAAGTGGCTACGGGGCTAGCTGTCAATCATGCTGTAAATGAGTGTTTGGGAGGAGTTACAACATTAAGGTCCATCTTAGACCGTATAGAACTCCATATTAATGAAAATATCTCAAAAACATTTTAACCCATAAATTATGTCACGTACATGTAAATGAAGAGTTTCTTTCGCAATATCCTCTGCTGGCTTCACCTTTCATTTTACCTTGCGTGCTTAACAGCAGGTATTTGAAGTGGCTTGATTTTAATCTTTTGTCACTCCCTCTTTTGACACTTCAAATGACAAGGCCTAAAATCATTACCATGTTTGGAAATAGTCAGTAACCGTTGCAACTTGCATGCTTCAATAGAGCTGTCAGCTACGACAGCATAAAAGGAGCCTGACAAACACCCGCAGCCTTCATCGCTATCAGTACGAGACAAGATAAACTGCTTTCAAACTGCTAAGGACCAAGTGATAAGGTAAGCTCCTACCCTTACTCAAGTAAGCATTAGGCCGCAGCCATTTTTAAGCGTTTGCTCACGTTGTGCCTTTCAGAGCTGACAACCATGGGAGACGACAAAGTGACGTTGTATGCAAACAATGACTTTGGAGGGAAATCAACGGTAAAGCACTAAACTTTACAGAATTAATTAATAACGATAATATGAGAGTGGTTTTCAACTGTGTGTCGAATATATTTCGAAACTGCTCCACCACGCAGTATGGCTCGTTTAAAACACTCGTCCTGCGCGCGGCTTGTACATCTCGAAACTTACTGCCTGCTAAGTGTATTTGATTTGAGCTTTTATTAAACAGACGTGCTGATTTCGTGTGTTAGGACTCAAGCTAATTCTAAGAAAAACGAAATTGAGAAAGCTGTTAACCTATTTTACTGTACAGTGGTTTTTATTTAAGTTTAGAAGGTAATTCGCCTTTGATACTGAGCCAAGCGATGGCTTAAAAGACTCCCATCACTTAGCAATTAAACTCGAAAGTAATTGTGACTTATTGATACACGTTAACCTTGCTTCCAGTTTTGATTGCTTCAATGAATTGCTTGTCTGCGTCCCATGTGAGTTCTGTGGTTATGGTTTGAAGACACTGAAACAAGAAATTAAAAAAAAAGAAAACAACAACAACAACAACAAAGAAAAACGACGCACGAACAAGTTATCACAGTCTAGAATCACGGTGGTACTTGAGTGTTTAAAATTGCAGCAACCTTCCTAAACTTTTTAAAATAACTTAATAATGCTCTTCTGAATGGCATAACAATGACAACTGACCAACGCATCACAATTTTTTAACTGTCAAAGAAAGCTGAGACCCATTTAAGATCAAATTTGAACTGATCCATGCATGTATATATATATATATATATTTTTTTTTTTGTTTTTTTTTACCATAGACCGTAACCGGAGAACAGCAGGACTTGCGTAGATTTCTCCCGGATGGGGCCTCCTCGATTAGATGCGGAGATAATAACACCACGCAATGGACAGTCTATACAGAAATCAACTTTAAGGGACGCCACTCCATACTGGACAAAGATGGCAGTTATACTAATGTCGATGCTATGGGTCTTCCATCCCCAGTCATGAGCATCCGTAAGACCGTGTAGACACGGCGAAAGATACGTGGAAGAACTGGTCGTTTAAGCAACCTAATTATGGTAAAAAAGTAAAATGAAATTTAATTTAATTAAAGGTTGCTCTTTTTGTACTTGACATTTATGACTCTCCACGCAATAAAATTTGTTACCCTGTCAACTTGGAGTGGAACCTTTCTGTTGCATTTATCTTTAAAACGTCGGTGCCAAAAATTGTTCTGTTATCGTAGAGGAGAATCTTTGTTTGCAACTTTTGGCTCATAGCCGAAAGCGAGTCAATTTCTGATGAAGCAAAAAAAAAAAAAAATGTTCTGAACACTGAAAGGGCACAGCACGATTAACTGTCCCAAGGAATTTGAGCCTGATGTGTATCATCTATTTTGCGCGACGCGCGTTTAAAACTCAAAATTTTACAAAAATTTATGTACTCATTGGCGCTTTTGTCAGCCATAAATTTTGACATTTTTGAAAGCCGATTTACCTTAGATTATTACCCCCAAGACCCATCTCACAAGATCTTTAAATGTTTTGAGTCAATTCGCATCTGCCATAATGACTTCTCTGCGCAGAGTCGTATGTTAATAAGGAATAATTTAAACTACGAAGTCAGCAACGATCGAGAATGTTTTTGCTTTCGGTTTTGCTTAAATCCGCTTGCAACTTGTTTCCTCCCTAGCCTGGAGTATAAACGGGAAATGTGACAGAATGTAGCAGAAGAAACAGAATTTACCATGGTATAGCCTATAGCATAAATGATTCAGTTTGTGTACATTTGATAACCAAGTCATGCTGTAACAGCGAAGGTAAACAGCGCGGTAAACTATATTCAAAGGGTTGGTTTCTTCTTTGATGAAGAATATAGAAATCAAAGAAATTCAGATGAATGTGGTCCTAAACTGCTTGCTTGCTTACATTTTCATTAAAATTGATTCGAAGAAGCGAGTTTTTCATTGACAATTTTAGAAACCAGGCTAGGCGTTTTCGTTCAACTCTTGCTAAACTGATCGTGGTGTGTTAGGATCCTAATGGCCTTTGTATTCCTTCACCGTGCATCGTGAGAATTAATTGTTGTCAATCACAAATAAAACATGTTTTAGCGCCCAAGATGTTGTCGCCATGTTATAAAAGAATTGGTTCATACTTTTAGCTGTGGGTATATCGAGTTATGGATGCTCTTGGGAAGTTTGGAGAGTACTCAAGAAGCTAGAGTTGCTCTCGGCTATCGCCTCGAGCAACCCTTACGNGATATACTTGGGAAGTTTGGAGAGCACTCAAGAAGCTAGAGTTGCTCTCGGCTATCGCCTCGAGCAACCCTTACGCTTCTTTCGTGCTCTCCAAACTTCCCCCGTGCATCCATAACTCGATATACGCACGCTAAGCGTGAACCAATTCTTAAATTTACATTTGAAAAGACTCCCCGAAGTTGTCTCAGTTGCTAGTTCTAGTCCAATACCGAGAATACGGATATGGTCTACTGGTCGAGAAAACGGGGCTTTTAGAAAACGCTTTTGAAACCGACAGAATTTGAAAACGCCGGCTTTTTGATTTCGTATGGACGGAAAACGTTTTGAAAACAGGAACTTTTCGAAAACGATGGCGTCACGTTGATCATGTGATTTCCCTGCGCGAGTTTTCCTCAAACACAAATCCAAAATGACTATTAATTTTTGCGTTTTGAAATTCTTCCGGCGTAGGGTGGAAGGAAAGCATTTCCTACGTTTTCAAAGTGAAACCTCCGTTTTGACATTCCTCAGGCGTAGTGTGGACTTGTGTAACTGTGGCCATCGAAAGAGAGAAAAATTATCCAGTTATTGCTCACGAGGAAAGATTTTTATGACTCTCTTCCCCATGATTTTACCCGTCGTCCCTCTTCAACATATTTGATGTTTCATAGATTTTTGTTCCAACTTTGTCCAATGAATATTTATCATATGAGAACTTTAACTATAAAATAAAAGAGAGGGGTGCCCATGCTCGTTAAGGAGCAGTGAGGCATTGAAAATGGCCCATTTTAGCGTCATTTAATGCTTATTACAATAACGCATTCCAAGTTATTGTACACTCTTTGTGAGCCCAGACTCATGAAAACACGCCTCAAACTACAGTCAATACTTGTGTCGGACACAAATAAACTTTTTAAGTTTGATTTTGAAAGAGCGCTGAATCCTTGTTAAAATATTAGAACCAAATTGCTTGCCACGGCTATCAAACTGCAAAATAGAAAAGACTACAGTGCGGCTGCTATTTTCCTTGTTTATTCAATTTTCAACATAGAAATCAGATCAGTCTTTTTCTCACGCAAAGCTAATGATTAGTTGATTAAAATGACTGGAAAAAAAATTTGGGGTGCCCGAGCTCGTTAGTGAGCTATAGCCATTTTTCAACTGACAGAACTCAATATCAAGGCAAATCCGCAATGTTTTCAGTGTGCGCTTGCACGAACGCGGGCTAATGACGCTATAAATTATGCGCGGTAAGGATTCGCCATGCAATACTGGGGAATGACCTTAAGGGTCCATTAACCGATCTTTTCGAGCCGTTGCTAAGGAAAAATTATTCTCTTAACCTCATCATTTTGTGTTAGTTCAGAGTTATTTCATGTGTTTTAACTTTTTCACGATCAGTAACACTAGTGATGACGTCATCAGGCCACGCCCAAGGTCATGTGACTAATACTGAAAAAACGCAAAGGCTACCAGGCAAATTACTTTAGCGGGATTTTTTTCATTGATTTAATATTCTAATTTAAATCCTCATTGCGCTATGCATAGATTTTGTTTCATTTTTAAAAGGTCGGATTTTGAGAGAATTTCAAAATATTAAAAAATTCGTAATTTTCTGAAAAAAGCATGATTTTGAAAAAGGAATGCATAGCTATCTTTCTAACGTTGGCT